GTCCTCGACCCTCAATCCTCATTCCTTCCAAGGTTAATTATCAACTTGCCTACACTTATCTTACGGAGGATGCTGTTTCCTCAAAATGGTAGAACAGCCAGACTGGTCTGAATCTCGGTTTTTATTCCTAAATAGCCAATATATCACAAAATGACAACTGCGAAAGCAGGCCAAGAGGCACCAGACTAAAATAAACGGAGCCTCCAACAATGACCATGCGCAATCGATATAAGTACAATGTAGACAAGGCCCCCGTAGCTCTCCAGGAGACAGCAACATGGCCAAAAAAGTATTTCGTGACAAGGAATTAGACCAAAAATAGGGAAGAAAAGGGAACACAAAATCATCAATACACACAGGTATGTGTCCGCTCAAACGCCGGGTACCAAGCCACTGATTTTCAGTAATATAGTCATAGGGGTATGCAAGGTGATGCAAGGAATTGAGTCGTGAGGCACTCTCCGGAATGACACGAGACGAGAGAACAGATCAAACGAGACTTCATGACAACTAGTGCGTTCCAACATACTTGAAGTAAGTGGGTCGGCAATCCTCCTTGGCAAGGAAATCTGCGCCTTGATAGAACTGACCAGCCTTGCAGCCAGAGCATTTTGGAGAATTGGGGCAGTTGAGATACGGGATGTGGTTGTACCCGATATCACGGAACCTAGTGAGATACATGTGAGTGAGGGTTCTTAAATGAGAGAAAGGGTATGTGACTTACCAGTGGACGTTGGCGGCATCGGCGAAGAGACCAATGCCGAGGGAGTGAACGGGAGCGTCACCCCAGCGTTCGTAGAAGAATCCACCGGCGCGATCCAGGTGTTGGAAGTACGCCTCGTACTTTTCGCCGCGGAAGAAGTCAAGATCGCCAATTTCGAAGTTGGACCAGAAGTGGCAGGTGGAGTATCCATTGGCGCCCTTGGTGTGCTCGGGACGAGCCACATCATCCGTAATCCACTCCCACATGTTGTTGTCGCTGAGGTACGACGGGTTGGCGGCGAGGAACCGCTGAGTCTCGGGCCACAGGGACGGGATACTCTGTGGTGCGTCGTAGAGGTTTATGGTGAAGCCGTAGGTCTTGTTGCCATCCTCCATGTATCTGAACACATCGTAGTCGACATCGCAGAAGAACTTGACATTGGGCTCGATGCGCCAGTAGTAGCGGTAGCCTGCGAGGGCAGGGTGTTTGTAGAACATGCCGCTGTTCCAGCGACACATCTGGTGGTAGGAGATTTTGGAGCTGTACTGGATATCTTGTTCCTCCAACATCTTTGCGGACTCGTGGAAAAGATCCATATTGATCCACTCTGGGACTTCCCAGTGTTCCTTGGGCACAATTTCTGCATCTAAAGTCAGGTATGGTTCCCTCTCGTTCTAACCAGACTGGAATGCGCACCATATTGGCACTTGGCCTTGGTCATTGCCTGAGTCTTCTGCTTGAACTCCTCCGTGAATGGCACGTCGTTGAAGAAGATATAGGGATAGTTGAACTTGTTGTTCCATGTTCGCTCCAGGTCACTCATTGTCGAGAGCAGCTGACCCAGTTCCTCATTGCGGACGAGGGTAATAAGCGCAGCATTGGTGCGGGCCGACTGTTCGCTATCGGGGGAGTAATCATGTTCTTCGGCTCGCCATAAGTTTCCTACAGGTTCTCCGGTCGCTATAAAACTAGTTAGTATGGAACTTAGAGTGCGATGGTTGTAATAGGAGGTGTGGCAAGAAACTTGGGTCACGCACGATCTACCAGAGGATCCTTCTTCATGCCATGAACCAACTTAGACCCTTCTTCAGAGGAGCTCTGGTGTAATTGGAAGACAAGAAATACACAAAGAAGGATGCATACTGCACCTAGCATGCGAATCGGTCGCGCGATAGCCATGATGGTTGTGTTTAAAGGGGGGAAATGGTCGGAGGGCGCGCATAAGAGTGGCCATCTTACCCCATCGGGACTAGTGCCATCCAGGCAAAACATCCGGGTCTCTCTTCACTTTATGCCTCTTCACTTCATGACGTCTGGAGACATCTCGATGTGATTTATCTTTGATCCTGGATCAGAGCCTATGCCTAAAAATGGCTCTTGCAGCTGATCTAAGTACGCTCATCGATGCCTTGATCACTTCCGTTGCTAAGATACCACCGGACCACAAGGTAATATATTAGTTTTCCATTATTCTCATCTTATCACGCATGGTGCACTAATATATATGTAGGGTACTACCCGTGCTCAGAGTCTGAGGCGTCGTGTACAAGGGGGTCTCCGAACTGGTTCTCATACGCGCACCGACCAGTTTGCAGTCGCCAAGCAGCTCGAGGGACTACGGGAAAAGTTTCAGATCTTGAATAGAGACGAACTTGCCGAAGCCCTTCACATTCGCCTTGCGGAGTTGGAGAGCAATCGGATCCCCTGGCTCCCAGAGATCCTGAGTCTCTTACTGCAACTCTCAGATCGCCCCGCTCTTTTGTCTACGGTCAAACGTCCGGAGGGACGGGCCAAGGCACCAGAAGCAAAAGAGACTCTTTCTTGGTCAGACCTTAGAGCAGATGGGACGGTATTTAGTGACGAAGAGATTTGGGAACAGGTTGACTTTGCTGGCGACTCATCAGATGACGACTTTTCATCCGTTGCCAGTGATATATCTCTTCCAAAGCACAGGCCTCAGTCCGCCACAACGGTGGATGAAGAGTACATTATTCCAGATGACGTTTTTGTCCCGGCAGAGAATTGGGATTTTATTGCCTCTTTAGAAAAGGCTCAATTCTGGAGAGCGGAAAATCACCCTTCGTTGCCCCAAGGAGAAGCAGCCACCTCGCGGCTTATCACAGAATTCCAACTCGCTAGAGAGACTATCTTTATGCTTCATGGCCTTCCAACCTCCATTTACGTACGTCTGGAAGATGATTTTGGAGTGGATCGAAGATACGCACTCGAACATTCATCCAGCGAAGCCCTGGCGTCCCTTTTGCAGTGTTTCAGCGAGATAGGCGCCAAACTCAACAATGTACGGTCTTTTACCAAGCTCCCACAGACCATTCCATATATGCAAACATTTTGCCGGGGTTTAGAAGATCGTCTTCTTGAATTTGATAGAGTCTTATCACAAGTTCAGTGCAAATACCTTTCCGCCAGGTCAACTATCAGCATCAGTCTCATCCAGCTTCTTGTTGATGTTCGTCAGCACTCCCACGAGCTAGTATTGCTCGCAGAAATGATCGCCAAGCTAGACAAAAACTCGACTGATCGACCAATGTGCTGTCTTGATTCGTTATACGATTTAATATGCATGCTGGAAGCCCTTGGCGACGAAAGTTCGTCTCAGCGTCTAGCAGAGCTATTCTTTACGTGTTTCAAAACGTATTCAAACCCGATCCGACTCTGGATGGAAACAGGTCAGGTCGATGCTTCGGACAGCACTTTCTTCGTGCGAACCAATCGTGAGAACGGGGATCTAGATCTACGAACTCTTTGGCATAACTGGTTTCTGCTTGATACGGGCCATAAGCAGCAGAGGATTCCTCAGTTCCTCGAGACTAGTGTCCAGAAAGTTTTCACGGCGGGGAAGAGCATGGTATTTCTACACCATCTGAATGCCCCACCAGACATTGAGGCCATGAGATTCGAGGACCTCTATTCCTCTTCACTATTGCTTCCTTTTCCCGCATTAGTAGAGTCTGCCTTTGAAAAGCTCGTGGATGTAGACCATTCACTCAGTGCTAGCTTATTACGAACGGAACTCGACCAACAATGCGGATTATGGAGCTCCCTTGATGCTCTTCATCATGTCTATCTCGCCAAAGACATGAGCGCCGTCGGGGTTATTGACGCCAAAGTCTTTGAGTTGATCGATCGGGGTCAGTCATGGGACGACAGGTTCCTGCTCACTGAGATCTCAAGGACGGCTTTCAGTTCAGTATCCGTCATTGACACATCGAGACTCCTTGTGCGGCCAGCTAGGGTTTCTCAAAATGGTCATCGAACCGTAGGGATTCTGGGTGCAATCACAATTGATTATGGCCTCTCGTGGCCTATTGCAAATATAATCACCGACGACGCAATACACACTTACCAACGGATCTCGACCTTCCTAATGCAAATCAGACGCGCTAAATATGCCATTGTGAAACAGCGCGTGCGCGACGCCCGTATCATCACACCCGACGACAATGACACATTAGTGCACGCTCTACATCATAACATGCTCTGGGTCCTCGATTTCGTCTACGGCCATCTGACCTATCTCGTAATATCCACCGCAACCCGATCTCTACACAAAGATTTATCTGGCGCACAAGATGTCGATGCCATGATAGCCGCCCACCAATCCTACATGTCCTCTTTGGAAGCACAGTGCCTCCTCTCTAAAGATCTATCACATATCCATAACGCAATCATCGATTTACTGGATCTGTGTATTCATTTCGCAGACCTACAAGCCGCCCACTTGCTCGGCGAAGAACAATATCTGGAGAATTTGCCCACAAAGAAAGAGTCCGAAGACGAGTTCCACTCCGATGATGATGATGACGACGACGATAATGTGAGCCATGAACACACGCTCACGGTCTCATTTCGTGACTCGACCTACAGCCAGCAGCTAAAAACGGTCAACAACGAGTTCAACCATCTAACGACCCTTGTCACGGATGGCTTAAAAGGTTTAGCTCGTGCAGATGGGCTTCAAAGTTGGGATATTCTTGCCGACAGGCTCGAATGGAGGCGGAATTGGCGCAGGCTTTGATACAAATACCCTTGGGTTCCAGCGGGCGTTGGCGTTACATAGCTTAAGAATTAACCTAGCTTAAGAATTAACCTAGCTTAAGAATTAACATAGCTTAAGAATTGACATAGCCTAAGATTGGCACTAGGTAGTGTAAGATGCAATAATGACTTTTTCGACTACATGCATAAATTTCTGTCTCACAATGAATTAGCCCTATATGTGTTTCTACCCGTTCTGGTCTCGGAAACTCAAACGGCCAACCAATCCTTTTTGGCCCGTCTATTGCTCTGAAGGTTGAGCGGCCTCTTGCTCCGAAGGCTGGGCTGTCTCTTCTTGCTTGGCGCCCGGGAAGCGAGAGCCTCGGTCCTTAACCTTCTTTACCTTCTTGTGCACAACTGGAGGCGGGTAAGCCTTTAATGTAACCTCCTGCCATTCCGCGGAGGCCGTGTAGGCCGCCTGGATAGGGGCCATAAGGTCGACCATGCCGGCCGAGACAGCAGGCTTGAGCAGTTGTGGTGTCAACTATAACGTCGTTAGTCAATGATACAAGCCTTTCGAGATGAGAGGGATAGGTATACATACAATATCAGCTTTATAAGCATCGTGTAGCTGCTTCATATCGGTAAAGACCAGAGGCTCAGCGTCCTTACGCTCGACGCGGAATTCTCCGTGGCCCTTAAGGACAGCTGCGGGCAATAGAATGTGTTCGACCAATGAAATCACACCGTTGTCTTCGACGACCTTGGGGATGCACTCTGCCTTGCGAATTTTCTTTGAGATGGTCTCGGCAGGGTCGAGCAGGTCGATTTTACTATCTGATCGGGGTTAGCATATATATGTACTAATAACTTTTGATAAGGGTGTAAATACCTGGGTTATCACTGGAGCTCATCTTGCCGGAGGATAAGGAGGCCATCATAGGATTTAGAAGATGGGCACGCTAGACGTAGGTAAGCTCCTGATTGGGGGCCCGCTCCCGGGGGCTAGCCCCAAAGAGTCACCATGGTAGGATGAAAACTTACAACACGGTATCCGAGTTTAGGGAGCCACTCTGTCGCAGCGGTAAAGAGCTTCCTCTGATCTATCCCTCCGAGCTGAGCATCACAGTTCAAATGTTGTTCATCGAGAACCTGGAGAACTGGGTACAGTAGTCTGGCGAACGGTTAGTATATTACGCAACCCATATAGGCCGAGAATGTATAGGCCGAGAGTAATCGGATGTCCATACCCACTCAACGGAGCATTAGAGGTCTGTTTCACAATCTCCGCTCCCGCTTTCTTAGCTTGACCTTCGGAGATCAAAGAAGACAACTTGTACACATCAAATACATACTCAGGGCTCTTCTGGTAAGAGCTACCGAGAACGAATTCGAGCTTTTCAGTAGGAACCCCGACGGCCTGAAGGATAGCGGTGATAATGTTTCGGTAGTACAGAGCGCGTGCTTCCACAAGCTCAATTGGTGCCTTTAACTATTTGTCTCAAGAGGGTTGGTTAGATCAGGATATAAACGGGTCAATTACTCCAAAAGGTATGCGCTTACGTTGTCAAGGAAGGCGTGGACATCAGCTAGAAGAATAACGACATCACAGTCTGCAAGTAGCAGCTGGGCAATTTTCAGGGCTGGCACAAAGTAACCGATATGAGGGCGACCCGTGGTCTAAGAAGAGAGGATGTGTTAGCGAGTGTGTCGCGACAAGTATTTAATAGGTATTTGTCATACCGCTGTCCCCCAGTAGCACCTAGGATTGCGTCCACTGGTCAGAATATCCTGAATAATCTCTGGGTTTAGGAATTCTGCGAGGTTCGAATTGATCTGCGAGAAAATTAGGGTCTGTTTGAAGTAAGAGCAGTTTGCGTGGGGTCTCACGAGATCGAATCTTGCTTGCGCCGCGGAATCCATGATAGGCTAAAAAATCAGAGAGAAAGAGAGAGAGAGAAAGAGAGAAAGAGCGTAAAAAAGACGAAGCCAAAGCACAGAAGACCTCCAGGAGAGTTGTCCAAAGGTAAGATCTCGGCAAAAAGCAAAAGGTGGGATGATGACTCAGATGCCCCTCAGCGCTCTATCTCCGCTAATCTCCATTCCTTCCGAGTCCTCTCGGAATCCTTCCGTTCTACTATAGATCCATGGCTATATTCATATGGAAATATTATTGATCAACTTTGCTATGTATTGATTTGAGAGGTCATTTTGTCATGTTCATTTTTCAACTCCAGCATGACAAAGAGAATATGGACAAGAACTCGGAACAAATAAGAGAAAAAGCATCGTAAATAAAAACTAAAAATTCTAACCAACCCAGCGTCTGGCGCTGTAGAAGACACGTCCCCAAGGGCCAATCTCACCCCAGGACTCGGCGTTCGGAGGCAACCAGCTGGCAATACCGTTCATAACGGTACGCTCCGGGTGAGGCATGATGGCAAGGACACGACCATCGGGGCTGCGCACACCGGCAATACCCTCGGGACTGCCGTTAGGGTTGAAGGGGTACTTCATGGTAGGCTTGAGGGAGGAATTGTCGACGAATCGGACGGGGGCAAGACCCTCACGAACGAAGTCGGAAGCCGAGACGCCCTGGGAGCTGGCGAAGGAGGCACGACCCTCGCCGTGAGCAACGGCAATAGGGAGCGAAGTGCCGTCCATGCCGTGGAAAAAGACGCTGGGGCGGGATGGGTCAGGGTCGGAGATGCGGGCCATGCAGACACGGCCTTCGTACTGCTCGCTGGCGTTGCGCTCGAAGCTGGGCCAGTAACCTGCACCAGGGATCAGATCCTTGATACGAGACAGGAACTGGCAGCCGTTGCAGACACCCAGGGCAAAAGTATCCGGACGCTCGAAGAACTCCTGGAACTCCTTGCGGGTGTTCTCGTGGAGCAGAACGGACTTGGCCCAGCCCTGGCCGGCACCCAAGACGTCACCGTAAGAGAAACCACCGCAGGCAGCGAGCCCGGCGAAGGTGGAAAGAGACACGCGGCCGGAAATAATATCGGTCATGTGAACATCGACGGCGGAGAAACCAGCGGTGTTGAAGGCAAAGGCCATCTCAGCTTGACTGTTGACACCCTGCTCACGAAGGATGGCAACGCGGGGCTTGTTGGCGAAGGGGGAGTATTGCGAAAGGCTAGTCATCATGGGCAAGGCCTTGTCCTTGGGGTCGAAGGTAGGGTTCCAAGAGAGACCGGGGTTGGCGTCGTCAAGAATGTTGGCATACTCCTGCTCCGCGCAGTCCGCATTGTCACGAATCTTCTGCATGTGGTAGGAGGTCTTGGCCCAGGTCTGCTGGAGGCTGGAACGGGTGTTGCGGTAGATCAGGGAGGCCTTGTGGTAGATGGCAAGGTTCTGCTTGGGTTGTTCGGATACGCGTCCAATCTTGTGGATCAGACCAGGAGGAGGACCACAAGTGGCGAAGCATGAGCGGAACTGGATCTCGTGCTCCTTACGGACCTGGAAGACAGCACCAAGCTCTTCGGTGAAAAGGGTTTCAATGACATCCTTGGTGTTGAAAGAGGCACAGATGTTATCGAGCATGATCTCAACACCGCAGCGACCGGCGAACATCATCTCAACAAGAGTAGTCAGAAGACCACCATCCGAGCGATCGTGGTAAGCCAAAACAATTCCGGCTTCCTGGAGTTGCTGTGTAGCATCAAAGAAGTCCCGGAAGAGATCAACGTCACGAATGTCAGGGCACTCGGAACCGACTTCGTTGAAGACTTGAGCAAGAGCCGATCCGCCAAGCGTCTTGCGACCGAACGAAAGGTCCACAAACATGAGGACAGTCTCACCAACTTCTTCGAAGCTACGAAGAGCCGGGGTCCAGGTCTTGGTGAAATCGCCAACCGGCGCAAAGGCAGAGATGACACAGGACATGGGAGCAGTGACCTCCTTGGCCTCATTCGAGGCCTCATCCTTCCATTTCATCTTCATGGACATAGAGTCCTTGCCAACGGGAATGCTGATGCCAAGCTTAGGGCACAGGTCCAGACCGACAGCTTCCACGGCTTCATAGATAGCAGCACCCTCGCCAGGGTGGCTACCAGCAGACATCCAGTTGGCAGAGAGCTTCACTTGGCTAAGACGATCCACAAGATCGGAAGCAGCCAGGTTCATGAGCGACTCAGCAACAGCCATACGAGCAGACGAACCCGATGAGATGAGAGCCAAAGTAGGCTTTTCACCCATGGCGAAGGCTTCACCGGTCTTCATACCTGGGGCTAGGGAGGTGGCAGTAACCGAGACATCCGACACGGGTGTCTGCCACTTGCCAACCATCTGATCACGGGCTGTCAGGCCGCCGACAGTGCGGTCGCCGATGGTGATCAAGAAAGACTTAGAGCCGACTGCAGGCAGAGACAGCACTCTGTTGATAGCCTCATCAACAATTTCCGTCTTCGAGGTGAGAGAGGGAAGGTACTTGGTGAGGCTAGAGTCCACGGCGGGCAGCTTCAGCTTCCGCGAATCGACAGTTCGGGTCATGCGAGGAGTCTTTCCGAAAAGTACAGACAAAGGAAGGTCAATCGGGGCTGGGTACTCCTTGGACTCTCGGTCAAGGAGAATGAGTCTTTTTTCCTCCTCGGACGAGCCGCCGCCACGACCGACAACGGAGAAGCCACAACGCTCACGGTGAGCGATAGCAGTGAACTTGTTCATGCTCTCCTCACCAACGGCCATGACATACCGCTCTTGGGCTTCACAGCACCAAATTTGCATTGGGCTCATGCTACGGTCTGCGTTATCGATCTCACGAAGCTCGAACGTAGCTCCCAAGCCCGAGTCATGGATCAGTTCAGGAAGGGCGTTGGACAAGCCACCGGCACCAACATCGTGGATGAACTTGATGGGGTTGTTGTCTCCCATGGCCACGCAGGCGTTGATAACCTCCTGGGCTCTCCGTTGAACTTCGGCATTGCCTCTCTGGACACTGGCAAAGTCGAGCTCGGCGGATCCTTCACCAGAAGCGATACTGGAGGCAGCACCTCCTCCCAGACCAATAAGCATGGCCGGACCACCAAGAACGACAAGGAAAGCACCCGGCTTGACAACATCTGGGTGCTTGATAGCGTGTTGGGGGCGAACGGTTCCAACACCACCAGCGATCATGATGGGCTTGTGGTATCCTCGCACTTCCTTTTCGCCGTTGCCCACGTCAATCTCGGTGAGCAGAGTGCGGAAGTATCCACCAATGCAGGGACGGCCAAACTCGTTGTTGAAAGCAGCACTACCGATAGGTGCCTCCAACATGATATCCAAGCTGCTGGCAATGTGGTTTGGCTTGCCGACATCGAGCTCCCATGGCTGCCTCAAGCCAGGAATCAAAAGGTCCGATACACAGTAGCCGGCGAGACCGGCCTTAGGGCGCGAGCCACGACCGACAGCACCCTCATCACGGATCTCTCCGCCGGATCCCGTAGCCGCACCAGGGTAAGGTGAAACAGCAGTGGGGTGGTTGTGCGTCTCAACCTTGGCCAGGAAGTGTACAACTTCCTTGGTGTGCATCCACTGTCCGGTTGTCGGATCGGGGGCCCAGAAGGCGGCCTCGGGGCCCTCCAGCACGGCGGCATTGTCACTGTAAGCACTGACGGTGTGGTCAGGATGCTTCTTGTGTGTGTTGCGGATCATGGCAAACAGACTGTTTGGCATGGGCTTGCCATCAATCACCCAGGAGGCATTGAACTGCTTGTGTCGGCAATGTTCCGAGTTGACCTGAGCGAACATGAAAAGCTCGACGTCAGTAGGGTCACGGGCAATTGCGCCATTCGGACCATAGGCCTCAGCCAGATAATCAATTTCTGTATCATCGAGGGCCAAGCCGAGCTCCGTATTTGCCTCTTGGAGAATCTCCTTGGGGGACTTGGTACCGCCCTGGAGGGAGATGGTCTTGAGGGGCTGTGGAGCGTGCTCAGAGAACATAAGGCTTAGTTCGGGCTCATCCTTGCTAATGATCTGAGTCATCCGATCATGAAGCGTGTCCATGTACTCCGGCTTGTAGTCCTCCACACTGTTCCGAAGACACGAAATCTTCATACCCCGTTCGATCCGCTTGACGTACTTCTGCAGGCCACAGACGTGCGAAATGCCCGTTGCTTGGGAGCTCCATGGCGAGACGGTGCCGGTTCGTGGAAAAATGTAGAAGGTATCGAATTGACCGTCGGTGGATTCGAAAGTAGGAGGGATGTCTGTGATGTCGCCGTACTGAAGCAATTGTTCGAGTACTGCACGCTGGGGCTCGTCCAAGGGCTGGGCGGCATGCACATAATGAATCCACTGGGCTCGAACGTCCTGGACACCGATGCTGGTAGCAATAGCATGCCCCCGGGAGCGGGAAAAGGCAACGGAGCCTGGGATGGCTAGATAAGTATCGGTAGAAGTCATTGTGAGCAAACTGGGGATTCTCCCAACGGGTCAAGTATGACACAGGAGATAGTAATTGATTCTCCTGGTATTGAAGGAGATTGAGTGGCTCGAGTGCCTCTCTCAAGTAGACTTGAGAAGATCGCTAGAAGAGAGCGGCGATGACTCTATCGCCGCTTTTTTTTTTGTCAGAGAAATGAGTTTCCCCCGCCCTAAGCCTGTTGCGGCTTATCTTGCTGGGTCATGTGCTGATAACGGATTTAAAGTTTTGGCACCGACGAATTCTTCAATTCCTTTCATTTTCTTAACATATGTATACAATGATATATATCCATTCATGTATCTCTCTGAAAGAACCTGTCGATATTCAAAATATAACAATTACTAGGCTTTTTCATCTGATTCAACAGTATTGAGAGAGCAAAGGGATCGAATTGAGGCCATTGTGGGCACTGAGTCAACAACATCAGCCCATCCCCTCAGTACATGGGGATTTGTTTCTTTTTCTTTGGCAGCGGGAACCAGTGCATATGTAGGTAATCTGCGATTTTATTAAGAGGAAGAAAGGAATCAAAAAAGCACACACATAATACCCCGAAAACCGATAGAGAATCCAATGATTATTGGAATGCATTCTTGACACTAGAGGCAGCCTGGTTTCTTATATCAACCTTGCAATATAGAATGATCTTCATTGGATGTGTACTAATCTGGAGATGTGGTAGCGTTTGGAAGCCATCAGCTCCCGGAGCATAGGGTGAGTTAGTCACCCAACCCTAAGCTGCACACTGAGCAACCTGATCGCTTTCCCCGTTGCTTTCCCCCCTTCTCTTCTGTCTTACTTTCTTCCTACGAGTCTAAGATCTAGAGATAACGTATTCCCTCGTTGTTATAGTGCTCGTAGAAACAAGTGAGACAAGTCGTCTCAGGAGGGATGTGAGTTTTGAAGTTATCCGGGTCGATCGACTGGATTCCTTTAACTTATATCAGAAATTTATGCTAAGTCTTTTTATAGCTATTAGTGCATACTATAATGTTATTGGTGGTTAAGTTAAAGGGACATGCGTTGAGCAAAGTGGAGACCAGCTCCAAATAAGAATACCATGGTGGCAAATGAAGGAACTAGCAATCAACATGTCGATGCTTGAAGCAAAGCTATTCACTCTCAGTAATTCGGTCCAACGCAGCCTGGGATTCTGCAGCAAAATCATCCAACCTAACTTCTAAAGAGCCAACGGTCGGGACTCCCGAGTGACCAGAGCCTCTGAGCGAATTGTGCTGCCTTTCAGTTGGAGGTGCTACTGTCTCAGGCATAGACTTTCTCTTCAGGGCGATAGAGCCTACTGGAGAAATGACTGACGAAATGAGGGACGAAGGTCGTGTAGAAGGCCCCCGCGTCGAATACAAGCTTGGGCGAAGGGGAGAATTCGCAATTGCCTATGCTTGTATTATCATATAGGCCAAGGTGTTCGCGATTTCTTGCCAGCCGAAGATGTCTGAAGATAGCGTTCGCGAGGACCAATATCCTAAGTCGAGGAAAAACCCCGAAACTCCCGGCCGTCACTTAGGCATCCCCAAAGGGACCAATTTGACTGGCCACGGGCCTTTCGGTTCGCTTAAACCATGGCTATATAGGCCAACAATTGTCCAGCTCTAGTCAAATTCTCCCGCCTTTTAACCTCTAACATCACTAGATGATAGGCCATATGATCTTTACCCCCGAAGAGGATAGTATAGTCGGCGGTTCCAGTGCAGGTGTGTGGAACCCCGTTAACGGGTACTAGACTCCACTTAAATGGAGTCTCAAAGGAGAGAGTGGCTCTACTGTCTACGGTGCTTAGAAGTAGGTCTTGCTCCAACAAACTCCGATAGACCACAAATATCAAAGCGTCAATACGACAACGGGACTTGGCCTCGTTGTCGACTCCAATTTTTGTTAACGCGTCGTATTGTTCCAAACACGACCTATTTATAATGAGATTACGTTCAGGCTGAGGGATAATGCTTATAATTACCAAAATCTGTGGGGAGAGCGAAAGACATATCTGGGACCATCCAAGCTTGAGGTCCCGTAGCTTGCTTTATTCCGAATGCAATCTCCGTCTGCTGGAGTGATATATCAGAGGCGGCTATTGTAGGGAGAGGAGATTCGACTTGACGCCTTTTTTGTACTTCCATGTGGCCCACTTGATGGCCTTATTGCTCACCGAAAAGAACGCTTTCGCCTCACACCTCATAAACTTGGGTGGCAGTAGAGCCGCGGCGCAAGTAAACTGACATTGAGACGTCAAGAGAGGAAGCAATGCATGAAAGTACAACTGCATTCTTTTTGTCCGTCCCACTCTTGTTGAGACTCCCGCACTTCTTGATTGCAGTATTTGTCGCTTTTGCAGGAGCAGGTTGAGAAGCAGTTCCAGATGCAGATCCGGCAGCAGGAGGGTCGTCAAAGCTCCGTAACTGTATCCTCAAAGTCTTCATCAGAAGTCTCTACCATGCCAGGGAGGTGTTTGGGACGCTTCTCCTGGCCGGTAAGGACGGCCTAGTATGTGAGATCTTTGCCATTCAAGACAATCTCCATGCGTTGGTTCCATAGTTCCCAGTTGGACTCGGCCTTGAGATTTGGTACGAGGTCCGAAAAATTCGGATCGGTGGTTCCACATTTGTCCGACATGGTGACGGATATGAATCGAAGTTCGTCGGCATGAAGACCGCACCTGCATTGATACCTTTGATATGGACAACATCTAGAAAAGACACCTAACCTCATAAATGCATGTCAGACGTGACCCATAACCGTTGGGAAGTGCTGTCATTCGTGGACTGAAGAGCCAAGGTCTGATGCGAAGAATCTAGAACAAGACAAAAAATGCTGTGAGTGGCTTTGGTTCCCAATAAGGAAATCTGCTTTATTCCAAATATGGCAATATGCTCCGAACTATACAGGTTTGCGGTAGAAAGCAAAAAGATAATCTTGGTTAATATTTGGCCTCCTCTGGCCTAGGACCATGTCACCCGAAATAGTCTGTATTTCGTATACATCTATGTGACACTGTAATATCCCTGGGTTGAGCTGATCTACAAGCTCAATGTGTTTCGGAGGTCGTCTCTTCACTAGGAGATACTACTACTGGATACACACGCCTTTCGATGCCTTTTATCTCTACGTACGTATATATTGCTATCTCCTTGATTGAGCTCTTCACAATTCGTGGTGGTCAGAGCCAGACCCGCTTTGGCGTGATGCCAAGCTGGAACTCGGAATCGTACTCTTGAACAAGATAGGAAGTATACAAAAAAAAGTTCCCAGGATACAACGTGATCAGCTCTCCTTCCCATCCATAATACTCTTGATCGACATATGGAATAGCCCATTCTCTACGGAGTAGTGTGACGGGGGATCCACTTACCAATATCTCAATGAGTGGAGCTACATACATGTACTAATTTAAGTATAGATATTTACAGTGCTAATGAAAAAAATGTAGCAAGTGCTCCTTTGCCCCGTTTTGTTGTTTGTCGAAGGAAACGAGGCGTCTGGAGTCGACCTTGGAAGCGATAAAGCCAAGGCGTCATCGTAGCATATTGCCTGATAAGGCTAACGCCACTATTCCTTATCAGGCAACTCATCTGGGTGGCCGATATCAAAGCTTCCGCTTGAGGAAAGATGTATGAGCATCTTCATCCAAGGACGGTTCTTGTTGCTTTTTCTCTTTTTTAATGACCCACTCGTCGAAAACTCGGCGCTGAATTTTATTAGAGATGGTTTATAAAAGAATGCCACCCCAACCCCAGGGGTCCAAAACAATCTAGGTTGTATGAACACATGTTGCTACCACCACAACACCTTGCACCTATAACTACGACACTTCATACTTTTGTCTGGGAACAGCCCTATTACAAATCTGGTATCTTTTAACATGGAGGCTCCTCAGTTAGACCAGGCCCACACAGATGCAACCACCCCGATAGAGACTGTCCGAACAACCTCCCTAAGGGCTAACAACCATGGACCCGTACCTGATGATTACCTCGACCTACCAGTCCGCGAGGTCAATGATTGCGCCAATTTAAGTGAATATATCACGGAGACGAGGACAGGTGAAATCATCAAGCCGATCAAGTCCAACGTCACTGGGAAAATCGAAGATTGGAAGCTGGTGACCTTCACCATCGACGATCCCGAGAACCCCAAGAACTGGTCGAAGGCCTTTAAATGGTACTGTACTATGATTGTTGCGTTCACCTGCTTTGTCGTCGCCTTTTGTAGTAGTGTCATCACAGCCGACGTTGAGGGACCCATCGAGGAATTCAGTATCGGTCGTGAAGCCAGCTTGGTTGTTATCACTGTTTTCGTTATTGGATTCGGTCTTGGTAAGTAATTCCGAAATGGGATGTGCTTTGTATAAGTTCTAACTATATTTCAGGACCCATGGTCTTCGCCCCAATGTCAGAGATCTTCGGACGTCGGCCTGTCTACGCTCTGACCCTTGCACTCGCTGTTACTTTTGTCATCCCATGTGCCGTTTCTAAGAACATTGGAACTCTCATTGTCTGCCGTTTGATCGACGGAATTGCTTTCAGTGCCCCCATGACTCTAGTTGGTGGTACTCTGGCTGATTTGTGGAAGAGCGAGGAGCGTGGTGTTCCGATGGCAGCATTCAGCGCTGCTCCCTTCATTGGTCCGGCCGTTGGCCCACTTGTTGGTGGCTACCTAGCTGACAATTGTGGTTGGCACTGGCTTTACTGGATCCAGCTTATTCTGGCCTTTGTCGCCTGGGTCATGATCACCTTCACTGTTCCCGAGACATTCGCGCCAATTTTGCTGAAGAGGCGAGCCCAGAAACTTCGCGAAGCTGAGGATGACCCCAAGTATACCACCGAAATCGAGCTCGATCCTCGCCCCATGGGTGAGAAGTTGCGCATCTTCCTCTTTCGCCCCTTCCAGCTTCTGTTCCTTGAGCCCATCGTCTTGTTCATTTCTCTCTACATGTCGGTCATATATGGCTTGCTGTACATGTTCTTCGTTGCGTAAGTCGGCACCGTCTTGTATCAACACAGGCTACTGACTAACTACATTTCTAGCTACCCAATTGTTTACCAGGGCGGCAAAGGATGGAGCGCGTCTAATACCGGTCTCATGTTCATCCCCCTGGCCATCGGTGTAATCTTCAGCGCATTCTGTGCTCCTTTTGTCAACAACCACTACCTCAAGGTCTCCGTGGAATACGGTGGCAAGCCTCCAGCCGAAAAACGTCTGATTCCCATGATGTGGGCTTGCTGGTTCATCCCTTCTGGTCTTTTCGTCTTCGCCTGGACCTCCTACCCCCACCTTCACTGGATGGGACCGGCGATGGGAGGCTTCCTTATTGGAGTCGGCGTTATCCTGCTCTATAACTCCGCCAACAACTACCTTGGTATCTATAGAAATTAGTAAATCACTTTTGCTTTCCGTCATTGCTAACTAATTTTCCAGTCGATACCTACCAGCATCAAGCAGCCTCTGCTCTCGCAGCCAAGACCTTTCTCCGTTCTATCTGGGGTGCCTGCACCGTCCTGTTCACAGAGCAAATGTACGAACGTCTGGGCGACCAGTGGGCCAGCTCGCTTCTTGCATTCATTGGCTTGGCTTGCTGCGCCATTCCCTATGTGTTCTACTTCAAGGGAGAGACCATTCGTCGCTTCTCGAAATTCGCCTTCACAGACGATGAGGAGAAAGCTATCAAGGCATAAATTATTGCCAAACTTGATGTCAGGGAATTTTTAGAAAGAGGAGGTCATCTTCTCATTTCTTTCAGCTTATACATCATTGTGGAAATGGTTTGCTGGTCTGACTGACGTGGAAAAGGGCATGGATGGATGACATTGGCATGGCGTCTCTTGATATCCATTGAATATATGATTGAACGAACTTTTACTATATTGATAGTGCTTAATACAAAATTTGTTTAACGCCTATAATATCTCGAGTATATGTGCTTTTATGAGCGGGCCGAAATCATGTTCATCTAGCACCTGGCCAGGACGGTTGGATATGTCAGGGAACATATATCTACGCTCAAACCATTTCTCCTTTCAAGTATCGATGAAAGAAGCATTGAAGGATATTGAAGTTAGAAGTACTGGTAATCGGGCCTAAACAGTCGTCGACCTCTCTATGTTAAAAAGTTCGCTGTCGACAACATGATCCAAGTCCACGCGCGTTAGCGCCAAACATGCGAAGGTAATTTTGGGACTCCGAGATTGTTGTCCCTCCGAAGAGTAAACAGGACGCTATTCACAACGTCGAACCGGGCGGGCCCACCCGGGCGATATAATCTGCTGACGTAATCCACATGTGGCCCGGCGAGTTCATTGCCATCATATCAACATTAGCCTCTTTGACTTTGCCTTTTTTGCCAAGATCAAGGGTCAAGGCCAACATCGACTCCGATATTTAAAGATACAACACAACTAATCAGTCTTTCCGATCCTAATAATGGCCTCCAACGCCGCCTCCTCCTCGCCCGCCGAGCTCTACGACTCCGCCATGACTGTCCCGTCCGACTCAGAGAACTACTCCGCGAACCATGAGATGTCCCCCTCGGCCCCATCGACCGAAAGCTCACTCATGATGCTTTATAAGCCGCCAAGCGTCTGGGGTCTTCTGCGCGGAGCGGCTATCAACCTCTTCCTCCCCTTCGTCAACGGCCTCATGCTAGGCTTTGGAGAGTTGTTCGCACATGAGGCTGCTTTTCGACTTGGGTGGTCTAACACTAAGGTATGTGGAATGTTAGATGACCTCATGTCGATCCTGGTGACTAATTAGCTGCTTTTCATTATATAGATCTTCCCTAACCACCGCCGCTCACATGCAGTGGGCCCAGGTGTTGAAATGCGGGAGCTTCCTTCGGAGCGGAGACGCCCTGGACTGAGGGACACTGCTTCCCTGGAATAAGTAATTGATGTTTCTTCTGCCGTTTGGTCCGTTCGAGAATGACTGCATTTACGTGGGAGACAAAACCGAAGCATATGTGATTTGGGATCGATAGCTGGCTTTCAGTGCACACCCGAATTTAGTTGTACATAGACCTGTTGGCTCGGGGGGCGTTTGGCGAATTAGGATTTACATTTTGCAACCAGCTTTTGTTACAATATTAGAAAACCCGAGTCTATGAATTCTTATATTTCCATATCCATATTCGAGTCTCCGTCCCTGGCCTGTGCCTGTCCCGTGGTCCGGGGGTATTTACCGCCCAGGCAGAAAAAGTCGCGCCGAAAGGCAGCAGAACAACTCTTCAGTACTCGTTATCTCCCCATCTATAATTATCCCAAACCACGATGATGGGACCTGTTGGCCTAAAAGGGTCCGGCGCAGCCGCTGCCCTTGCACGTCAGAGGATGACCGCCATGTCCCGCTCCTCCCGATCTGTCTGTTCTCCCGTTAACTCGGATTTACGAAAACATCGAAATTGACTTGGCTTTGCAGATGTCCACCTTACGGTCACAAAGCCTGCGCTTCCCTAGGCAGAGGGGCCAATTGAAGTCAGCACTATCCGGAAGTGCTCCCTGGCGCATGACACCAGCTGTTATCGGCCCGGCCGCAGTCCGATTCAATTCCACCTCCTCCGACTCAACACTTCCCGAATTTCCTCTAGACGGCTCACTGAAGAACGCAGTCAACATACACGATATTACCACGATTCCGGAGAGCATTGGATACCTTAAGGAGCTTGGGCTGGACTTCGGATGGGGCTTCACGTCGACGATGCAATGGCTTATCGAGCACACTCACATATGGACCGGTTTGCCATGGTGGGCTAGTATTGTGGCTGTCGGTCTTCTGACGCGTGTAGCAATGCTGAAGCCCGTCCTTGCCTCATCTGAGAACTCAGCAAGAATGACCCTCGCCAAGCCTGAGGCTGACCCCCTCCGACACAAAATGGTCGCTGCCTCGTCCGAAGGGAGACAGCAGGAAGCCCAGGTTTTCAGGGCCCAGCTCAAAGCGATCAACGATAAATACGGAATTAAGACATGGAAGTCAATCGTTCCCATGTTGCAAATTCCACTTGGTTTTGGATGCTTCCGAGTCGTGCGAGCAATGACTGCGTTGCCAGTTCCAGCCCTGGCCATGGAAACAACTGGATGGATTAAGGACCTGACTGTTGCTGATCCTACTTACATGTTGCCCATGCTTGCTGCGGCCACGTTGTGTTTATCTCTGAGGGTAAGTCGGTCACATGTGGTCTACTATAACTGCGATACTAACCAAAGATAATAGAAAGGCGGTGAATCCGGCGCAATGCCCATGATGCAGACTGAAGCAGGGAAGTACATCGTGTACGGTTTCCCTGTCATGTCTTTTGCGTTCATGGCATTCATGCCGAGTGCCCTACAGCTCTACTTTGTAGCAAGCGGTCTTTTCGGCCTGGGTCAAACTTACTTGATCAACTCGGACGCCTTCCGGAAGTGGATGTCCTTGTCGATCGCTCAAAGGCAATCCAATGGGCCGAAGTACTCGGCAGTCACCGAAAGCACCCAAAGCAAGGGCCTTCGCAAACTGCTGGAACGGCTCGAGAAGGAAAAAGCCGCGCAAGAGAAAGCACGCAGCGAAGCCTCTATGTCACCTGCACAGGAAGACGCGAAAATCAGCTTCATTGACCGCATCTACCAGAAATTCGGGAAAGTCGGCTCCGGCCTCTCTAAATCAGTCTCAGAAACCATGGGTACTGGAACGGTCGAGCAACGTCTTGCCAAGGACAAGAAGAAGCGCGCAGCTGAATACGAACAACAGCGAAAAGATGAGGATGAACTTATGCGGAGAGAGCGTAACGAAGCTCGCCGCAAGGAACACATGCAAACCCTGGAGAACGAAAGGACCAAGGCAAGCAAGTCTTTGAAGAATAGCCAGACGGCTGCTCGCAAACCCAACGGGCGGCGTGGTTCTCGCCGTGCTTGATGGGCGTGTGTTTATACAAACTGTAAAATATGGCGCAGTGGCATTTGCATTTTCTTTTTGTGATTTGAATTGTAGAATTTAGTTCGACCACAATCTCCATTTGGCTATGTACACTTCTAGAATTGAAGCTTGCATCACTCATCTTGCTATCGCGTTGGATAAAGATTCGAAGAGCCAGAAAAGGGAAAATCCAGAAAAGTCATACTATTTACACCCATCCATCGTCCATGATGGCCATGGACCAGCCATGTCGAAAACGCAAATTCCCTAGTCACACGACACCAGAAGCCGAGGTCAAACCAACCGAACCCATAGTATCAACACGTAATACATAGAGAAAATGAAAGAAGATCATGTCGTCTGCATAGGGACCGATTGCAAGGGCAACGGCGTCTTCTCGTCCTCAACAAAAGCAGCCCTCTCCAGCTTCTGAGTCAGAGAAGCACAGAATGTATCCACATACGCCGTCCATAACGCAGCAATGAGATAGACAAGCCCGATCCAGACCGGAATACTAATAGCAACGACCCAGGGCGGCCGGATAGGCAACCAGTCGTCGCGCTCGTCATCAGTCGACGGCTCAGGACCCTCCCACGGCTGACCGCTGATACCATATAGCATCCAGCAAAGCACAACACGCAGCATGGTGCCATGGACAAGGTAAACGGCGAAGCTCTGCTTGCCGAGCCAGAGGAGGAGTCTGCTGGAGAGGAAGTCTTTCGTCGAAGGGGAGAAAAAGATGGCGAGGATGATCAAGTCAATTGCGAGTGCGGTGTAGCGCTTCCCGACGTTGACTCCTGGCGGGAATATATATTGGCTTGCCTTCAGCATCGCGTTAGACCAACTGGCCCATTCGGGATGTTCACCAGGGTATGAAGCGAGGAGCAATGCGACAATAGTGAGCGGGATGGTGAGGACCTTCCGGCCTCGCGGATGTTTTTCTATGCAGTCTTTGAGGGCTGTGTGGTAGGAGAAGTCACTGAGGAGCATGCCGTAGATAGCTTGCATTTGGAATGTCTCTATAGAATCGGCATTAGCAATGGGTTTATTTTGTCCCCCGCAAGCACTACATATGAATCTCATACGTGCTTTCTTCCACAAGCAACACTCACCTATATCCTTGGCTGCATCCTGATGGAAATACAACAACAAGCCAATATAGACCAAAACCCTATACCGAAACTTGACGAACATAGTCGCAGAAAGCACAAGATAAACCAACATGGAGGACAAAAGCAGCGGTAGAAGCGCCCACTGGTGATCATCGTATGCCATATATCCCGTCGTCCAAGTCGACAAGAAATTCATCGGTAGACGAATAAGTTCTTTCCAAAAGGAATCTGCCAGATCCGGTGCCGCATAGCGACACCACCAGCAATCGGACCTATTGGCAACTATAAACCCGCCGAATTGCGCGACAGTCCACGAAATGAATAGAGCAATCGTCGCCGGAAACATCAGACGTGGCGGTCGACGGAAGGCGCTCTTTGCTATCGTTTCGAACGCCCTTGTTGTATCACCTGCTCGCGACAGTTTGAGTGGTTTTAGCGCGCAGACGTAGCCAGTTAGGAAGGCAAAGATGGTTACGCCCAGGCGGCCTTGCCAGGGGATGCGTAGGATGGGCAATTGGAGAATTCGTGGACTGGCGTTCTCGTTATCGCGTGGTGAAAATAGAGCATAGTCCCAAGCGCGGGCGAGATGGGTTAGCACTACTAAGAACGAGGCGACTCCTCGAAGGCCCTAGAAGTTCAACACGTTAGATCGTATCATGCACTGTCTATTCTCAAAACGTACATCAATCCATTTGACACTCTTTGTGGGATCTCCTTTCACTGATGGATCCCCAGAGGACCAAGGCAAGGCTGTGGGTATTGTGTCTATTAAGCGAGTGTATAGATGAGAGGGATGGATGTATTGCATTATAAATGAAAGTCAAAGATGCAAATAGTCGAATAAGAACTAGGCTATGAAATAGAAAGGCAGATTGAGCATCGATTCGCCCACCCCAACCGAAAATGAAGTTATAAAATGAAGGACTACGAACAGTACAGAGTAAAAGAAACCCAAAGAGACATCCCCTTCGGCGATTGCATCAAGAAAGAGGCTGCCAAGAAAGAAGGGAGTTGAGTCGACGCGGCCCTGCAAGTGCTAGCCCTGCTAAGTCCAGATCCAGTCGCATATTCGCTGAGAAGCAGGTGGACTATGGATGATGGGGATGAGAATACCAATAAATGGAGGAAACGCCACTCGGAGAGCAACCCTTGCTGCACATGCACTATGGCTTTCTGCAGGGTCGAATGATCGACCACAATTCCTATTTTGAACGATTAGGGATAATTCTACTAAGGCCATTCAGTCTACACAGTACCCTCTACTTAGGGATAATGAATTCTACTATTGCCATCTGGTCCATTTCTACTCCGTATATTGTACGACGTTGAGAATAGCCCTAATTCCGAAAATGCCACGTACCCAATCAAACCACCTACGTACATAGGCAGCAGTATAGAAGTTTTGAAAAGCACTAACCTCCTCTAAATAGCGTCCAGAACATGGCCGTGCTTGGCATATGTCTGTTACACTACGGAGTGGCTTGACTGATTTGAAAAAAGCGATTCGACATATATGATATCGCCGGTGAGAGCCATAGGAAGAGCGCGGTATATATTAGTCTCCCTACGGAGTAGATATCCTTATGAGATTAGCTAGCCAATACGGATCGTTTGCCTACACGGAGTATATAGTTACGTTGCAAATGAGACGGGCATTCTTCACCCCTGCCAAGATCGAGGGTCTCCAGATTAGATGTATCAACTTGATATCAAATCTAGTGGAATGTGCGATTGGATACGTACATTCTAAATTTAAGACTGGGGTACCGTCTACAAGGATAATAGTGAACGGAGGCCAAGGAAGGTATCTCAAGTCTGTTAATAGTACATAGTATGTTGGAAGAGAACAATCATGAGATCAAAGCCGAACAGAACCAGTCTGCCGTAATGATTTCCCCGCAAAGACCAAATAACTGATCCGAGTGTATTAGACATGAAAAGAAAAGTAAAACAAAGCTCGCCGATATGCAATGCAAGACTGGAGTTATTATCGGAAAAGCCTTCTGCCACCTGCACTTCCTGAGCTCCACGTAAATGAGCCACGAACTCCCAGGTTCTCCAGACTTAATCCCGAGTAACCGACTCCACCACCTTCGCCATTACGCTTTGTCCGCCGTACCGCTTCACGCAGATGTGATGGTAGAAGCTGGCCACGGTGTGGGTTCGGTGGAAGACGGAACTCGCGTCTGGGACGGAGAGGAGTGGAGGGTGGGTGAGGAGAGGATGTTGTCGAGTTCTGATGAGTAGGGATAGATGGCGTAGGCGTACTGTGAGAGTCATGTGGTTCTTTCTTAACTCCATTACTGAACGAGGCTGACGCCGAACTGGGGACTGGTGTGCCTGCCAGGGTTGGCGTAGAGGGTTTTGAGCCTGCAGCAACGCCTGAGGCTTTCGCCTGGGCCGCAGCTTCGGCAGCGGCTTCTTCAGCTTCAAAGGCATCGCGCGCAGCAAGGTCGTGTGCTTCGGCCCATTGGGCCTGGACGGTTCGTGCCATTTCGATCACCTCACCGGCGAACACCTTGGTGAAACCGTTGACGGTCGTCACAACGCTGGCTGGAACGGATTGTGATAGGGCATGGTTCACGATACGGCGGAGTGTTTCTTTGCGCAGCTTGGCTCGCTTGAAGAGATCGTATCGCTCCGATTGCATAGGGTTGAACGCATCAACCAGGATCCTGTCCAAGACCAACGTTAGCTTCATCCAATATTACCAAATGGCAGGAGAAAACGAACGCTAGGTTCTTCTTCTCGGCCTCTGTATCCGTAGCTCCTTCTTGCTGTCCGAATAGCTCTGCCTCATCATCCTCGTCATAATCATCCGCATCGTCAGCACCCCCTCCGCCACCCCCACCGCCAGAAGGACCACCTCTGACCGAACCCTCGTTATCAACTGATCCGAACCGCGTAGAATCTCCCCCCCTGGTGCTGAGAGCATCGTCACGCTCCCGTTCCCGCTCTTTCTCGGCCTTACTCTTGCGTCCTCGTTTCTTTCCCCGTGCGGCAGAGAAGATTCCGTCTGCGCTTGCTCCGCCAAGACTCCCTGTAAAACTGCCTGTCATGCTCCCGGCTTCACTGGTACCGCCGAAACTGCGATCTCCAACATCGATGCCGGTCGGGAATGAAGTCTGGCGGAGAGGGTGCATACGTTGCTTCTTGCCAAGCGGCTGTGAGGCGGAGGAGGAGATAGAGGGTCGTTTGAGGGGGTTCGATGATGATTGGTATGGTGGTGGTGATGACATTTTGAGAGGCTGTAGCGGATAAATAGGGGCGGGTGTATTGCGCGTGCAAAGGTTCGTTGAACTTGTATTCAGAACAGCCAGCTGGAGGATGCTCAGTCTACTTGATAGAGTATGAGCGCAAGCTGAAGCTCTTTCGAGGGACGAGAATTTCGCGCTGCGCCGTTGCGCCGGGCGAGGAAGATGGAGATCAACCTTGGACTGGAATGAAAAATGAACTTTAGATTGGAGGTTTCGAGTGACAGTTAGATATTCTCAAAGGACCATGGATAGCGATATGATTTCGCGGCGGGGTCTCAGTGAAAATAGCTGGCTGTAATTAATTGGAAGCAATCTGGACGAGACGCGAGATAAGGACGCATCTCACCGCCTTGCGTCTTCGGATAACTATAGTCCTATGTACAATGCTGTATGCGTTTGGGATCCCCTAGTAGAACTTACACTCTACACTGAAGACAATATGATACAGAAAATGATGATTGTGTGATTCAAGATGCTTAGATGGACCCCGCAGATGAATCTTCAAAACCAGGTATGGCGTATGATCAAAGGAATGACAGAACAACGAAATTCTGAGAAGAATCGAAGCACGATATACCCATGCTTCAAGACCTCTCGACTGAACCACTGTAAAAATGAGGAAAGAATGAGTCGCTCAGCTTAATCATGCGATGCTGTGCACTATGTAAGGGAACGAGATTGACACAAAAAATGAACAAAACAGAGAGCACTGTGCAAAAAATCGAATGCGAAGTTGAAATTAACAGAAACCGAAACGGACAGAAAGGTCGCAACCGCGAAGAGAGAACAGTTCAATAGCGGATGGGTGAAGAACCAAATCACCTTAGAACCCCTTCTCTCCAATTCGTGGTGCCCCCCCTTTCCAGTCATTGCGTTCGTAGTAACGGAACACAAGATCATAGCCGTTCAGGTCATGGACGATGCGGTCGACACGACGGTAGCCTTCGACATGCTCCATCTTGTTGCTACGGCGAAGGGCCTGGCGCTGAGCGTGCGCCATATCATGCTGCCCATTCGCCTCGTCGAGCTCATCCAACGCGGGCTTAGTCTCGAACAAGGTGATGCTGAATCGACCAGGCTTGAAGATTTCAACAACCTGCTGGATGATGTCGGCGGTGGCCTTGCCGTTCTGAGAGTGCGGCACGTTGGTCTCAAAAGATGCGTACGAACACTGAGGCTCCGGTGTGACATGCACGGTGAAGTAGTGGGTCGGGGCGTTGCCATCAGGAGCCGGCACGACGCCATTTGCAGAGAAACCACACGGAGTGAAGAGGTACGCGTCGATGCGAGCATCCGGGAACTTGCTCTTGGCGTACACGTCGGACAGGCCGCATGACTCAGAGACGACAGTGCCCAGAGCGTGGCCCTCGGTGGTTAGCTCCGGCGGCAGGATGCTACCAGTCTCCTCATCCATGTCCGAGGTGTTGCTGAAGACGTCGAGGTGATCAGTACCATCATCTTTCTCCGAGTTGCGGTGACGCTTCTCTGCCACAGCCGTGGCGTTCTCAAGGTAGAACTGCTTCGCATTTTCCTCGTCAAGGTCGGTCATCAGAACCTCGAGGGTCTCATCGTGCTCATCACAATCAGTGCGCAGCTTGGCGTCAGGGAAGCTGAGGACCTTAGTTTCAGTCTTGTGGAAGTCAACCTCCTCCTTGGGACTCGCCGGTGGGGTGAGGACGGTGCCAGGCTCGGTAAGGTAGAGATACCAATGTTCTCCGTTCATCTTCCCGATCATGTAGGCGCTGCCATTGACGAACAGCCTGTCCATAGAACGCACCTCATCGCGCCAGCTGCGGTGGGGGCCACGTTGACGGTCAGGGAACAAAAAGTTCTTGCGGCTGTAGAAGACTCGGTAGGGAGCCGCAGCGACCGTGATACCCCGGGATGGAGGAGCCGTGGCGCGTGGGAACCCTGCGAACAAGGCAGCGATTTCCAAAATGCGGGGGAGCCCCGAAAGCAAGGTGGTAGTTCCGCACGTCTTGAGAATCAACTTGTGCGGCCAAACAAACATGCTGGACTCCGAGAGAAGGTAGGCGTCCATCTCATCGGAGGAGATAACAGAAAGCACCTGGCAGTTGACCAGGTCCAGCATATCCTTCCAGATTTCCCCGGGCACTTTCTTCAGGCCCTCGGGACCGGCGCTGCCTAGTTCAGCGGCAGACGGCGCAAACCATACCTCGAGAAGCTTCTCAGGACCTTCGAAAGCGTTGGTCGAGTCGAGATCCTGAGTGGCCTCATAGTTGATTGTCAGAGATGGGGTCCCTGCGAACGAGGACGGCGAGGTGGTGTAGTTCGTTGGAATACCGACGTAAACCATGATGACTGATGTAGCTTGAGCTGTTGTACTTGTATGTGTTGAACGAAGCAGAAACAGTGACGTCGGACCGCCCTATGTACTTCGATGAAGATAGGCTGTAGAAGCACTGTCTACTTACCCAGACGAACAAGGGGGCGATGCCCGTCTGAGAAGAGAAGGCCCTGAAACAACAATTTAACTGGTCAGACCAGGCGGATATAATCTCCACACAGACCGAAGGGCTGCTAAGGAGGG